CTTGAGCGGCACTAGTACTCCCGTCGTGTGCACTTTTTACAATTTGAGGATAAAGACACTGTCGCTAGGGCTAGCCTAAAACTAAAAGTGTCGGTACAAGTGTCCGTGTGACACCACCTTTATTGGAAACATCTGTGTTCACCTTGACTGTCAAAAAGTTCCCGACGTATCAGTACATTCTAATTATAGAAGTACATCTATTTAAACAGGAAAAAAGAACGATAACAGATAACTTCCTGGAATTTTAATAGCTTTGAAGTTTTCGAAATACAGTACTTCACATCAGGCTATACAGAATTGCGTCTAGCATTACCTTGTGAGGCTGTGACTTGAAATTAATTATGTAACTTGAAGCGCTTCACTAAAAACTAACTCAAGAATACGGTTACTGCATTAATTTTTTTGGTAGTTGTATCACGAAACACAACAATATGCAAATATAATAGGACGACTGGAAGAGCTCCATTTTTACTGCTTGGTGACACATAACTTTCTGATTACAATGTTGTGTTTCTCCCTCCAGGTGGTGCTGATCGTCAACGTAGCCACCTACTGAGGGCTTACTTCTCAGTACCAACAACTGAATGAGCTGCAAGAATCTTACAACAACCTGGAGGTTCTGGCTTTCCCGTGCAACCAGTTCGGGAGGGTGAGTGTTGTGCCGGGTCCAAATATTCTGGTAGCCATTCATACCAGTCCTGGTTAAATGCATTTATATAAGTAAAGAACACCGGTACATTACTTATATTTAATAGTGTGTTTCTTAGAATTGATATAAACAGCTACAGCAGTCTTCGGATTTTAATGAAAACAACCAGTAATGAAATTTGATGAACAGGTTTTGTGTTAGATATAATACCACACAGTCAATAAACAGTAACTAAAATGGATTTACTCAGGAATGAGCTTAGATATTGGGATTATTGTTCCCGAAGCCCTGACTATAAGATAATAGCAAGGTTTCCTCTGTCCCTGTGTCCATGTGTACGTCCGACCAAGGATTCTAATGTAATAGGATTCTTGGTCCGACAGAACAAGTTCCCAGATGTTTGTATATGTTTTTTTGTGTGTGTGTGTGTTTCTTTGCATAAATTTCATTAGCGTACGAGAATCTAGGTGACCGAAAAATAAAACTGGCTGAGTTTATATTTGGGACTCAAAAATCAAAAATGGCCGCACTCAAAAAGATTAACAAACAAATACTTGTAGACACATCATACGTAGGTACGTTTACCACACAGACACGCACTCCAATCACGTACTCACACAACTTCCCCACCACACACATATACTGTACACACCCCGCGTCCTGTTTAGTGACTTTACTAAGTTAAACACACACACACACACACACACACACACACACAGATTTGTGTATGCTTGCCCACACACCACACAAACGAGGAAGAACCAAGAGGGCCAAAGCACCTCGGCACACATCCATAGCATCAGTTAGCTTCTCTGATACAAACAACGTCACAGGTTATGCTCTCACAGCAATAGACCATTAATGATATAACTAGTACCCAGGCCGCTTAACAAGCTGTATCCTCCACTGACGAGTCACCAAGGTTAGTGCGGGTATGTTTGTCTCGCCTCACCCAGCAGGGTTCTTGTGTATCTTCCTCACCAGACATACACCCCACATCTGTTTCTAAATGCTCTGGGTTTGACTTTAACTAATTAATACCTGCTTGGGTATTTCATAAAGTAATAGCGATCTATAGGCGCTAAAAACAAATAATACATATTTGGGCAGAGGAAATATGTACACCAATGAGAAAATTACATGGGGTCGTCTGGATGTTAGTAGGCGGCCACTATACTGCACTTGTGGGGGAGACTGCTGATGCTTAAACCATAAGCCTTATTTTCCGTTGACTCGATTACTCTGGAAATTATGTATACTTATTTTGAGAAGGAACAGTCGTGAAAGATGGTGTCCACCTGTGTTAGACTTTACTGTTAATGAGTTCCACTGAACTCTTACCAACATTTTTATGTCATACCCTATCTATATACTGTATTTAAAACAAAGAAGTCTGTCTGTTTGTTTGTTTGTGTTTCCGCACGAGAATCTCGGAAACTACTTTACCGATCTGTAGTGATGATGGATGGTGTTATATGTAGTGATGATGGATGGTGTTATATGTAGTGATGATGGATGGTGTTATATGTAGTGATGATGGATGGTGTTATATGTAGTGATGATGATGTAGTGATGATGTGTGTATATGTGATGTGATGTGATGATGGATGGTGTTATATGTAGTGATGATGGATGGTGTTATATGTGATGATGGATGTTGTTATATGTAGTGATGATGGATGGTGTTATATGTGTGATGATGATGGTGTTATATGTAGTGATGATGGATGTTGTTATATGTAGTGATGATGGATGGTGTTATATGTAGTGATGATGGATGGTGTTATATGTAGTGATGATGGATGGTGTTATATGTAGTGATGATGATGATGTTATATGTAGTGATGATGGATGGTGTTATATGTAGTGATGATGGATGATGTTATATGTAGTGATGATGGATGGTGTTATATGTAGTGATGATGGATGGTGTTATATGTAGTGATGATGGATGGTGTTATATGTAGTGATGATGATGTTATATGTAGTGATGATGGATGTTGTTATATGTAGTGATGATGGATGGTGTTATATGTAGTGATGATGGATGGTGTTATATGTAGTGATGATGGATGTTGTTATATGTAGTGATGATGGGTGGTGTTATATGTAGTGATGATGGATGTGTTATATGTAGTGATGATGGATGTTGTTATATGTAGTGATGATGGATGGTGTTATATGTAGTGATGATGATGTTATATGTAGTGATGATGGATGATGTAGTGATGATGTGGTGTTATATGTAGTGATGATGGATGGTGTTATATGTAGTGATGATGGATGGTGTTATATGTAGTGATGATGGATGATGTTATATGTAGTGATGATGGATGGTGTTATATGTAGTGATGATGGATGGTGTTATATGTAGTGATGATGGATGGTGTTATATGTAGTGATGATGGATGATGTTATATGTAGTGATGATGGATGTGTTATATGTAGTGATGATGGATGGTGTTATATGTAGTGATGATGGATGGTGTTATATGTAGTGATGATGGATGATGTTATATGTAGTGATGATGGATGTGTTATATGTAGTGATGATGGATGGTGTTATATGTAGTGATGATGGATGGTGTTATATGTAGTGATGATGGATGGTGTTATATGTAGTGATGATGGATGGTGTTATATGTAGTGATGATGGATGGTGTTATATGTAGTGATGATGGATGATGCTATATGTAGTGATGATGGATGGTGTTATATGTAGTATAATAACAGTTTAATGCTAAAAAATATACTTTGCTGTACCGTTGTTGTGAAAAACATGGTGGAACTTACATACACCGTTAATGAACTATTGATGAAAGAAAAAGTTTTGGGGACTGAACAGTGAGACAATGTGGAGCCTCCCGGAGGGTGGCGTCCTACTGTGGCTCCGGGCGGCTCATCTGCTAGTTCTACATAATATATGCATCTCATGTTTCACACGCACGCACACACACACACACATACACACACACATTTAATTTATCACATCATACGCGTATTAGTGAAGAGGCTTAGATTTCGTTGTCTTGTACCACATTATGTGGCTGGCGTAACTAAAAGTGGTGGCTACTGACTTGTGTCTGTCAGGTGACTGGCGATAATATATTGTATAATAATGACATAAGCAGATATAAGAATGTGTAAATAAAAGTATGATCAACTAATTGAATAATTGAAGTCGATTTAATTCTTGTGTCCGGCAGCAAGAGCCAGCAGGCAACGGTCAGGAACTGCTCAACGGCATCAAGCACGTTCGTCCAGGTGGAGGATTCGAGCCTAATTTCACCATCTTCAAGAAGATTAATGTGAACGGCGAGGATGAACATCCTCTCTATACCTACCTAAAGGTAAGGTGACAGGTAACAGAGAGGGAGTGTAGTGTAGAGAATATTTTAAGTGACCTTATTTATACCTTCCCTAACCTAACTTAACCTAACCAAACCTACTTCAGGAGCTCCATCAGTTAGAATTTTATCTTATTATGGTAAACGAAGTCTTAGATGAAATAGGTGAAATTTTACCTTATACCAATTAATTTTCATTAAGTTGTAGCAATAAAAAGAAAACGTTTTCCCAATTTGGCAAAAAGCGTCAGTTGCTTAAGTTTCATTGGCGATTATCCCTAATTAGCGTGACACACACACACTATATATATATATATATATATATATATATATAGTAAAGTAATTACGACATAGTTCAGTGTAGTGAACATTGAGTTATTTCATAAACCGAACTTCACTGCTTCCATAACGCATCCTAAAGTGACTAAATTTAATTAATCGAACCTATCAGGTCATAACATAAGAAAATTTAAGAAATTGAAAGGAAGTTTAACCTAACTGAACGTATCAGAACTAAACGTACAGTGCCTAACCTAAGCTAACCTTAGCAAGCTTTTTAAACCCACTGAACTGAACAACCGTCGGACTGGGGAGGAGCAGCTAAGTGAATTTGCGCATTCTTGCTGTTTATGTATTATATCGCTAAAGGTGGTTGTTTGTAATAAATGTATGTAAAAAAGCTAAGTTTTCCCATAGGTGGGAAAAATACATCGCATTTGTGCAGGTTCTGGAGATCGCTTTCAGCCAACAACGTCAACGTGTATATAATGATATGAAATAGCAAATATGCATTAAAAAGAACTTAGTCGTGTCATTCTCCAACCTTGGATCCGAGCCGCCCCGCGTCTCTAACAGTGGATAATCTCCCTCACAGGAATATTGCCCCGCTACACGCCAGAGCTTTGCAGATCCGGACTATTTGTTCTACACCCCTCTCAAGACAAACGACATCCGCTGGAACTGGGAGAAGTTCCTTGTTTCCAAGAACGGCAAGCCTTACATGCGTTACGACCCCGGTACCAAGCCCAAAGACCTCAAGAACGACATTATGTTCCTCCTGGAGCAGGAAGAATAAATTTCTTGAGTGTTTGTGTCAGTAACAAGCCCCATTGGTTGTCGCTAAAGCTTATTTTGTTACAGCGCCTCGCATGTTAGTAAGTAGCGTTATTTTTTTAGCTCTCTGCCATTTTCCCGCGTCTCTCCTCTCATAATATCTCTGGGAGTTGCCGATGGGTGCGACTTCAGGCCTTACCTGGCGTGATGAAGGTGTCACCACAAACCTGGTGGTGGGTGACGCTGGAAGGTGGAGCGAAAACTGGGTCTGGTCTTCAGCTCATTCAGCTGGACTCAGGTCAGCTTTGTAAGTCAGGTTAGGTCAAAGGTCGTGGCTAATGGCTGCTTCAGGAATTTGTGGGTTTGGTCTTGCAATAAAAGTCTTGTATGTCACACCATGTAAGCTGTTGTTTTATTTATTCCTACAGGTAACATGTATTCAGTAGTCCCAGGTGCGTCTTCAGTTTAATTTAATTTACATCAATATAAGGGGTAACTAAAAACATGGTAAATACTTTATTCATTAAGGTATGAAATGTTTAACGAGCAGCACAGGCTAAATTTACATATACAGTTAATGGTATCTCTGCATTACAATATGAAGCATAAACTGCATATTACAGTTCTATAGACATGTCCTGTAATGGCTACGATCACACCACCAGTATTGTTTGGGTGCTCCTGCTGAGGAGTCTGCCGGAATTCAAGAGATATCTCGAGGTGTTTATTACCGGAAACTTCTATGATGATGACCCATTGGAGTTCAGATGTTGTGTTGTTACCTCTAGCCAAAGCTCATTAGATGTTTACAAACTTTGTGGTTGTGTTTGCCTGTTTCTTTTGACTTCACAAATAACTGTTTGACTGCTGCTTCACAATATTTGAAAATACAGGTAATGTATACAGATTATCAGACTTAATTTTCAGCAGCTAGACGATTTGTTAAAAATTGTTACTCCGTGATAAATGAGACGCATTTATCACATTCTCTATTACATATAGAATGTGAAATATTTTTAATTAAGATTCTACAGAGTATCTTTGTAATTTTTCCAAAGTTACTTGTTGTCTAGTAAAGAAACTACAGTATTAGTTCTTTATAACGCCCGCCACACCAGCACGTATGAAATAGGGTGATTGTTAGTAATCGTTGCTTAGTTATTACTTTTAAGTATATAAATTACATAATAGCAATGATTATATGTAAATTAGATTAAGTATTGGGAGATTAAGTTAAAAGTATTATTTCTCAGGTGGCAGTTGCAGGTCATACACATCAAGCTATTATTAAACTGTCCCGCCCACCCTCCATTACGCCCTTCTCGCCCGGAGGGAGTATTGGTTTAAAATTTATGCACAATGAATATCGTCGTGGATACATGTTGAACAAAAATGTATTGGTACATGCATAATTTTATATAATATTTCATTTTAAAATTACTTTTAGCAACAGACGAATCTCATGTGTGCTACATTATAAACACAAACTCAACTATTCTCAAGCGGTAGGGTTACACTACACTTCAATAAAATCTAGACACTAACACCGGTTAACATCGCAAATTTGAGCAAAATATTATGGGATATCTGCTACGCATTTAAGCATAGCCTAGTATGCTAACAAGCTCCAAATCTACAGAAGTTTTTGGCATGATTGACATGGGTGAGGTAATTAATGCATATGATATGTAATGGCACCAGCTTGATGAGGGCGGTAAAAACGTGTAATGCTTGTGTGAACTTTTTTCTTCAGAAACTGGTATCATGTGGGAATTACTTTTAATGCTTCAAAGAGATCATTTCCCTCTTGGCATTCCATGAAAGCACATTAAATTGCAAGGTATCACTATACTGTATTCTGATTTTCCAGAATAGAGTATCTGAAAACGACAGCATTGACTCGTATTTATTAGATGGTGTTGCTGTTGCATGACTCGTGGTCATTGGAAACTCGAACTGATAACCGGTATCTATTCAGTAAGAATAATGTATCCAGAGATGGGTAAAGTATTGATTTATGTTTACTTGAGCAAAAACAGTTACTGTTTAAAATAGTTACTCAAATAAAAGTATGGGTACATTTTCATGGAAAATACTTGAGTAAAATTAAAAGCTGCTATCATTATGTAGTACTGAAGTAGCTGGCAAAAGTAAAAGGTGAAGTATTGATCGTTCATTGAGCGAAATCTTCATTCTTATTAAAACAATTGTCTTTGGTAGAGGTCTTCACTCGGTTCACTTGTTTAGCTTTAGTAGCAACTGATTTTCAAAGGTGTTTTCTAAAAGATTTTCTCTTCTTGAGGCGAGCTAAATAATCGTTCGCATGCTGAAAAAGCCGATAAAGGAGGTGTTTCGCATACTTTATCCCCTTTACTGCTGATCGGCCTACTAGCCGCCAAAGATACTCTACTCAAGATAGGAAAGCTCCAGCTAAAAAATATATGAAATATGTGTACGGTATAGCTGCCAGATACCTCAATAATAGCGCCATCTATTGGCTCCGTCCAAAAGCTCTTCGTGACGTCATAGACGTTGATGTGACGTTACGAGTAATTTTTTTTTTTACATATTCCATGCTTTAAAGGCATTTTTAACTTGAGGTTCCAGCTAGTATTATTACCGACTATTTTACACTCATTCCTGTCTTGAGTATATACTATATAGTCTTCGCAAGCCGCATGGGCGGTCGGTCACTTTTCTGATACGCACTGTTGACAAGCACTGGCTGTAGAATGTATCTGTACCTGCGCCAGTGTTGGTCAAGTCTGGTCTTAAATGCATTCACACTCGGTGCTGTCACAATACTCTCTGGAAGATAGTTCCAAGAATTCAGTGTGCCCCATTTTCTGAACTTACTGCTACTTCAACCTGAATATGTAACCCCCCTAATGGGGCGGGCATCCACCAGTTCCAGGTATGAACACTCGACTGATTACTGCCGTCTAAGGTGTTTTGGGATTTCTATTAAGTCACCCCTTGCGTGTCTATAGTGTAAGTTAGTCAACTGATGCAGACGTTCTAATCTCTCTGGATAACTGAGGTGCCGTAGTGCAGGCACCAGTCTGGTGGACCTCCTTTGGACATTTGCAATTAGCTGACAGTCTCTAGCATATCTCGTGAACCAGACTGGGTGAGGGTACTCCTAACGACCTTTTTATAAGACCTACTAGCTTAGTTGCTTGATTTATCTTCTCACAATGGTCCAAGAACTTCTTTTTGTAGCCAATGTATCCACTCTCTCACCCAGGTCCTTTTCACATTTGGTCTCCGTTAATGATGTTTCCTCGTCACGTTGGGACATGTGATACACCTCCTTGCTGTTGGTGTGTTTTCCTTGACCGATGCCTTCAAGATGGATGGGAAACCCTTTAAAACATCTTCACTGGCTGACTTGTTTGCCAGGTACCCCTCTAACTATAGTCTCATGGTTGGTGCAGATCTTGAATTCACTGAGCTCCACTACTTTTGGCTTGCATAAAAGGCACTGCTACTTAACTGAATTTCACACTATGATTTTTAGTGAAAATAGCTCTTAAATAAGCTTATGGTGATTTTTCAAGGTAGACATGGCCACAGCGAAATGAAGCTCACGAAGTTAACACTATCGGAAATGGCTGCTGTGAGTGCTGTGTGTTCCTGCCCTGCGTCGTAGGAGACCTCGCCGCTTGTGATTCGTTTGCTTAAGAGTAACTACACTCTTGTCAGGTGATGTAAACAAAAGCTATTACCATAACAACCTTTCAAATGTAACGGCAACCTTTTAAAGTAAAAGTATAATATTTTTTAAAGTACTTGAATAGTGTAGTGAAGTAAATATACTTAACATTTACTCAGATTATTCTTTTGGCTGTAACTTTTTCGTGTTGTTATTCTAGTTTAGTTTATAATGAAAAAGTGTTTGCCAGCTAATAAACCATCTACATTTATGTTATTCAAGTAGATGTCAGATATTACTATAAGTGTCAAGGGATTTTGGTCCACAACTGTACATACATCTGAGTCCGCCTTAGTTTACTTTCGTGCGCATTTTTGGTAAAACTGTGTCCACTTTTATTCAAGCTCTCTTCATCTGCATTCATCCTAAGGCTCCGTCCATCTGCATTCATCACAGGGTTCTATATGCATTTCCATTTATTATGCACTCAAACGCTTTCATGCTATAAATGAGTTTTCTTCTTTGGTTAGGTTATAATTATGTCTGAGGCGTAATGGCATCATGTTGCTCGAAACGACTGTAGCCTCGCCTATTTCAGGGTAGTTGTGTGCATACGTCACCAACACCCGTCATACGCCCTGTAAACGAAGAGATGGCTTCATGGCATAGGGTATAAGTGTGCACCTTGTACCAGTGGTTAATAATGATCGTGAGACACAGTAATAGTCGTACAAATACAGGCTACAACCCCAGCCAGTTTAGTGAGGAGCATCACCGTAGGGGTAAGCAGAGGCGCGGATTTCCATGACACGTAACCCTTCCATGTTTCTGTGTTTGTTTTTTCAGTGTTTGTGTGCACTAGATTTTTGTATGCACGTAGGATTAGTGTAGTGATTAACTGATGCTTGTCAAGCAGTTGCAGCTACTTATCTGGAGGAAAGGAATTTAGTTTGTTTTTACTGGTAATATTCATATTGAGTGGACCTCAACTTTATAGTAATGTTCTGCTCACGAATCGGGTATTTCATATTCTTACTCGTTACTCATATTCTACTTCCAGTTTAGAGTAGTGTGTTTGTCAGAATAAGCAGAGCATTTGGAGTTGCTGGAGGCATCTTCTTCACCGTACGCCACCTCCATTTGTGAGAGGACTGTCTGGTCTGCTGCCTTACTGCCCGTTGGATGCTTCACTCCGCTTCCTCCTGGCAGTGCCGAGGTGTCCGTCTGGATACGAGGAAGTGTGGAGGTTGGCCTCGCACACTTCTTCACCGTGGGCTATTTCCATCTGGGTGCGGAGTGTCTGTCAGGGTGCTTGCTGCGCTGACCGGACGAGTGGTCACTGTTCTGGTAGAGTTCTTCATCCAGAAGCAGCTCAAAGTCCCCGTACTTATCACTGGCCGGCACCTTGTTCCAGTGTACACTACGGCACAACACACATCATTAAAATTGTATAAAGAAAATTTAGCTCGTTCAATTACACAGAGTGAACATTTGGACAATATCATTCCTTTGGTAAATAGGAAACAAGTCTTAACGAGTAAACAGTAGATAAGTCAATACAAAAAGAGAAATTGAAATTGAATTAATAAATACCTTATATATAGTTATCATCAAGACAATAATATCACCACCTACTTCGGAACACCGTCAGGCGGCAAGACGATGTTGATGATGTCGTCAACCAACTTGTACTTCATAATTCTGTCGTTGGCTGTTGTCGAAGTCATAGAAGGCGAAGCATTCACCTGACAGATTGAAATTATAACGAGTGTTAGTAGGTAGGTGTAGTGGCTGTTAGTGGCTATTAATGATGTTACAGTCGTCCTTGGGTGAGAATAGTGAACTTGTACTTTCTTAAGTAAAATCGAAAAGTCTAAATACATACCCAAGACCAAACCCAGTGCCTCTAGGAATACGAGGGGATCCCTACACATGAACCATGCGGCGGTCGACAAAGTTAAGAAGAAAACCCAGAAATTCAAGACGGGTTGGGTCAAATGATGAGCAGGACAGGAGGATGTATGCAAGAGCCAGAAACCAAGCAGAGATAGAATGTAGAAGGGCTGAAAAAGAGTTCCAGAGGCTGGTTGCAAGCGAGGTCAAGTCAAACCCAAAGGCGTTTTACCGCAATGCAGAGTCGAAATTAAAAACGCGAGTAGGAGTATCAGACCTGAGGCTTGAAGATGGTAGTTACGCAGATTCTGACCAGGATAAAGCTGAGGCATTGAACAGCTTCTTTTCCTTGGTGTTCACAAGAGAGGATGCGATTAATCTTCCTGCGTTTGAGGACAGACGGCTCAACACAGCACTGACCCACATTGTGTTCACAGAAGAGGGTATTAGAAATAAACTGTCAAAGCTAAAGGTCCATAAGAGTCCCGGCCTTGACATGGTGCATCCTAGAGTGGTAAAAGAGTTGAGCAACGAGCTTGCCGAGCCCCTGAAGATCCTGTTTTGTAAATGCTTGGATGAACAAAAGGTCCCCAGTGATTGGAAAGTGACTTATGTGAGTCCTATTTTCAAGAAGGGCGATCGTCACTCCACGAACAACTATAGACCGGTGAACCTGACCAGCATAATATGCAATGTACTTGAGAGTATTATCAGAGATGCCGCGATGGAACATCTACTACGAAACAACCTTTTAAAGGATTGCCAACACGGTTTTATGCCGGGGCGCTCCTGCTTAACACAATTGCTCAAGGTATTGGATATTTGGACCCATATTCTGGAACGGGGTGGTAATATCGACAATGTTTACCTAGATTTTGTCAAGGCTTTCGACAGTGTACCCCACGAAAGGCTGAAAATCAAACTGGAAGGGTACGGAATTCGGGGAAATGTCCTAGTGTGGATAGAAGACTTTCTACATAACCGCAAGCAGTGTGTGGTGATTAATGGCACGAAATCATCTTCTGTACCTGTCACAAGCGGGGTACCACAGGGCAGTGTATTGGGTTCGCTTTTGCTTGTTTGTTTCATAAATGACATGCCTGACGTTGTACACTCCTCCATACAAATGTTTGCCGATGACGCCAAGTTATTTCGGGAAATCAAGAACCAAGCTGACTGTGAAGAGCTGCAGAAGGACTTTTGTGAGCTCCAAGAATGGTTGAAGAAATGGCTGCTAAGATTCAATGTCATGAAGTGTAAGAGGATGCACCTGGGGCGTACCAACGGTAAGGAGGCGTATCATATGTCCCAACGGGATGAAGAAACTGCACTATTTGAGACTAAATGTGAGGAGGACCTACAGTAGGTGTGTATGTTGACAATGAGCTGAAGTTCTCGGGCCATTGCGAGAAGAAGGTAAATCAGGCAAATAAATTATTGGGTCTTATAAGAAGGTCGTTCAGATATCTAGACGGTCCGTCCCTCGTAACGATCTTCAAGAGTTAATTGGTTGAAAATGTTCAACAAAGGAGGGCCCCCAGACTGGTGCCTGCCCTTCGACACCTCAGCTACCCTGAGAGATTGGAGCGCCTGAACTTGCCTAGCTTATACTACAGACGGGCAAGGGGTGATCTAATAGAGGTGTATAAGCATCTCAAGCTGCACTACTCAGTCGAGTGTCCTTACTTGGAGCTGGCGGACGCTCGCCCCACAAGGGGTCACAGCTCAAGATTGAAGAAGCCGCAAGTCCAGAAAACTGTGAGGGCAAACTTTTTCGGAGTGAGAGTTGTGAACTCTTGGAACAATCTACCAGAAAGTGTTGTGAAGGCACCGAGTGTGAGTTCTTTCAAGACAAGACTTGACCAACACTGGAGCAGGTTCAGGTACATTCAGGAGCCGGTGCATGCCCAGTACTTGCCAACAGTGCGTAACAGAGACGTGACCGATCGCCCAAGCAGCTAACGAGCCGATCAGTGGTGAAGAGGATAAAATTAAAAAAGTAAATAACTCGGAAAATAAAAATTTGCCACAGAAACGTAATTTTTTCCCCAATCATTGATTTCGAAACCATGGGGCTGGAAGTTCCAATCATTGATATCAGCAGGTTAAACGTTTTCCTTTCAAGGGCTATTAGAGCCTATCTTCGTTAAACAATATCAATTACGGGATTTCGTTCGGTTAGGAAAATAATCACTAGCATCATTATGCATGAGAGAAAATTGTAGACTGCCTCAAATGCACAAACATAGAGGAGAGCCAGGAGCCTTAGAGTGCAATGAGTTTAGAACAATTAGCTTAATAATAAGTCATGCATGCAAAGACTTATTAAACCTAATTTTAAGTAGATAAAATTTTAAATAGACAGTGAATTATCTGAAGGTCAAAATGGATGAGAAGGGAGAAAAGCTAGAAATGAAAAGACGAGAACATAAACAAGAAATATGTAAACGCCATTTTTCATGTGTCTGGTGTAGAGGCACAGCCTAATAAAGGTGGTTCTGTATACCAATCAGTTCCCGAAGTTAGTTACCTTAACTAGAGTAATTGCAAGTATGGACCAAATTTTTCCTTTATATGTACAGTAGATCTTTGTTAATACCTCGATCATCCAGGGCTTAAGCTGGTCGTCAATGATAATGTCGTAGCCGTAACACTCGAAGCAGTGTCTGTCAGAGGCCATGATGGGCGCCACTGCCCTGAGGGAATGCACCACCAGCCAGGTGATGTCAGAGAAGAGCTTGTCGGTACGCGCCTTGCCTCTGGTTCCTTCCAGGTAGAGGCGGAGGGTCCTCACAGGCCACTTGCCGCCATGCACACTGTTGTACTCTTCCTACAGGACACAGATACACGATCAATGTGGAGACTTTGATCACCTGTCACTGAAGAGGATCATTGTTTTTATTGTAACTGAACATTTTTCTTGTAAAGACTACGTGTACATTACCCGTAAAGAATATTATAAAAACTGATTCATCCAGATACAATATTTCTAAAGATATGGGTGAATTTTATTTACTAGCTGCAAATCATATACACTAAATACTCATAAAAGCAATAATGACTATAGTTTCCGTAGTTTTTCCTCGTTCTAGCGTTCTGGTCATAAGGACTGTACCAATGTGAATATACAAATTGTAAACACTATTTTCAGTTTTGAGTGTTTGTTGCTAAATTTGTTTGTGACACATTTCAACCTTTTGAGGACGATTATATACTGTAAGCTAACTCTTTAAGGATGATAACTTAGGCTATAATCCCCAAGGAGTTAACTCATCGTCCACAAAAGGTTAACACTTCACGGTAGAGAAATTTTAAGAGGACGTAGCAGGAAGAGACAAAAGGCGGCTCACCCCGTGTTTCTGTATGGACACGTTGGTGAGGTGGACGAACATGTTGTCTAGCTCCTGGCCTGACGTGTCGTATCGCACCGTGCAAAATCTGCAGAATCCCTGCTTGTACATGAATGCCTTCAGCGGCCGGTACGACGTCACCAACACGTACCTACATAAACATGAGACTAACATTGTACTTGGCCGACGAGAAATATTCATTTCACGTACAACTGATAAACATATAATTAGATAGTTACACTCCAGTTTGCTGTTGCCTTAAATTTGACGAACATGAGGATGCTGATGGGTATACAAACCGAAAAAAAAATGAAAACCGAGCAAGAAGCAAGCGCTGTGATCCTGTGGTTTGTAAACATCAAGGGAAAAAATAGTTAGAATTTGTTTCGTTACTTCCTTATCAGGCACGTGCACAGGTAACCTGGGTAGGGCTCAAGGGGGGCTTGAGCCCCTGCCCCTTTGCCCTGCCAGCTACGAAGTGCCCTCCTCAATGGTGTTTTTGTTTCAATCATCAGTATATGGTTTCATGGCCTGCATATGGCTTCATATGGCCTCAAAATGGCCCTCAAATAGATCAGATTAAAAAAAATCCGGGGGGGGGGGGCGTAATACAGCACTCCCAGGAACCCCCATCAGACAGATTCTGCGCACGGCCCTGTTCCTTGTGTTAGTAATCTTTTAGATTTACTACATTTCTGGACAATGAAAACTTCATAATCAATTGCAGTCAAGTAATATTAACCATCCTTCTCTATTTATGATTTGGTAATATTAAAAGAGAAAAAGATATGAGATATAAGGACACCAGAGAGAAAATAACAATATGTGCCGATGAAGAAGTTTCTGTAAGAGCCCTCCTAATGGAGTATATGAACAAGGTTAAACAAGAATTAGTCACAGCTGCGTTAACTCGGTAAGGGTTATAAGCTCAGCAGGGCCTTGCAGATTTAATATAGAAACTCATGTGAGAGACCCATCTGAAACTACCCTATTTTGAACATAAGGGGAAGGTAGCTGCCTCCCCCCTCCCTCCCATCCCTAAATCCGCCACTGGATGTGCTAGAAATGCTTCACTCACATTCTTAAATCAAACTTCTTTCCGCCTATTAGTAGCGGGTTTTCTATGTAGCGGGAGATGACGTAGGTGTCTTTGACGAGCGCTGGGTTAAAGGAACTTTTGGTGTCCCTCGACCACTTCTTAATCTGGGCCAGCTTGTTCACCAAGAAAATCCCTAAACAGAAAAAAAATATTATGTCATACATGACTGGTTATAGTTCACCGACACTTTACATATTCATGAGATCACCAGGATTTTTTTTACGGTATTTTTGAAAGGACAAACAATACATTATAATATATATCATATTTTACAGTATTTGTATAATTGTTTACATTTGTGTCACCCCGTTAGTGTACATTCTTTTTTCCATTCCACGACTTTCAGCAGCCCTCATGCAATTCAAATAATTAAACAGATTTCCATACTATATACACTTCCCGCCACACCACAGTCTACCACCAACACCTCCTATTCACTCTATTGCTACTACTTACTAAATACAGACTCTAATACTACCAGCCACGTGTACCCTACCAGCATCACTACCACCTTCTCTTAGCCACATACAGTACAATCTTTACCACAACCACCTTCTCTTAGCCACATACAGTACAATCTTTACCACAACCACCTTCTCTTAGCCACATACAGTACAATCTTTACCACAACCACCTTCTCTTAGCCACATACAGTACAATCTTTATCACAGCCACCCTAACTTTCACCTCACTCATTCGCCTCCGCCCTGACCACCACTGTAGTGCGTTTTTCTCAGGTGAGCAAGAAGCCACCGCCCCCTTCTCAAGACTTACAGCTGATTGGCGGTTTCAAATCTGTCCGATTTCGTCCTGAAGTAATGATGTATTAACATGTTAACCGTCTGGTAGCAAATTCATGCTTTCCGAGGATATATTAAATGCATCCTCCGGAAGCTTGAATTTGCTACCAGAGGTTAACAGTTAATTCATGTATAATACTTCTGATAAACTTCCTACGTACTTATTTTTTTAAATAATTAATGTATCTATCTTTATATAATTTAGCTAAATATCTTTCTCGTCAGAAACGGTCATCCCAACGATTATGAATGAACTCATTTAGAAATACATCATTACTTCAGGACGAAATCGGACAGATTTGAAACCGCCAATCAGCTGTAAGTCTTGAGAAGGGGGCGGGGTATCTCTTTTACAGCTGAGAAAAATAGCTAATATGCTCACCCACGCCCTGAGAGCGGCTGGCAGGCTTCAGGATCCAAGTAGTATTGGGGTTCCGTCGAAACTCCTCCACGAAGAGATTGTAGTCGGCTGGTAACATAAAGGTAGTTGGCAGGAAGTCCAGGTGAGTGTATCGTCCTGGTGGATATATTTATTGTCTTGGTGGATGAAAGTGGGTGGACATATTTATTGTCTTGATGAATGAAATTGGGTGGATATATCGTGCTGGTGGGTGGGAGTGGGTGGATATATCGTGGCTGGTGGGTGGATACATTGCGCTGGTGGGTGGAAGTGGGTGGACATATTTATTGTCTTGAATGAAATTGGGTGGATATATCGTGCTGGTGGGTGGGAGTGGGTGGATATATCGTGGAAGTGGGTGGATACATTGCGCTGGTGGGTGGAAGTGGGTGGATATATAGTACCGGTGGGTGAATAAAACTAAATATTATCCTTGGGGTCCTTGTTCGATGGAAAATATGACTTTAGAAGTCTATGTTTTTCACGGGAGACGCTAATAGTGTTTGTGTGTAAGGGGACGCTAATGGTGTTTGTGTGAGTACAGGAGACGTAATAGTGTTTGTGTGTAAAGGGACGCTAATGGTGTTTGTGTGAGTACAGGAGACGTAATAGTGTTTGTGTGTGTACAGGAGACGCTAACAGTGTTTTTGTGTGTACAGGAGACGCAAACAGTGTTTTTGTGTGTACAGGAGACGCTAACAGTGTTTGTGTGTGTACAGGAGACGCCCATAGTGTTTGTGTGTACAGGAGACGCAAACAGTGTTTTTGTGTGTACAGGAGACGCTAATAGTGTTTGTGTGTAAAGGGACGCTAATCAGTGGCGTAGCTAGAGTGTGTGCCGCCCGGGGCGGCCCTTGAGTTTGCCCCCCCCCCCCCCCCGTGACCCACAAAAATACATATTGCACAGTCACTCTTTTATATATATATATATATATATATATATATATATATATATATATATATATATATATATATATATATATATATATATATATATAATAGTTTGCCTTACTGTTGTCAGACAAAAGCCACCCCGATCAAAGTAGGGGGCTTTTGTCTGGGTGGCTTTCGTCTGGGGGGCTTTTGTCTGGGTGGCTTTTGTCGGGGGGGCTTTTGTCTGTACCCCAGTGAGGATAGTGTCTTAGTATAAAATCGCAATGCTGTGAAACAAAATCTTAATATTTAATCTCAGTACCGCAGCAAAAGTCACATCAATATTTTTTAACCAATACTTTAATATTTCTTACCTTATAGTATTATGTCTTCCAACGAAGTAAATAACTGGATCGAAAACACAAGAGAACTTAAAAGTCGTCTAGCCTCCCCTCGTCTTGTCACGATGGAGACTTGTGCAGAACTGAAGTGAATTGCTTGTAACTGGTGGATTGGTCGGCTGTACATGAACTGATATGACCCGAGACTGCATGGTTTTGCAGCTACTGGAGACGTTAATTCTTCCCTTTGTATCGGCGGCAAGTTAATCCTCGTCGTGTCTGACCTAACACCTGACCCACACCACATGAGCTCACTGGCGTACTTGTTTGAAGTTGTTTCCTTAATCCTCAACAGGTTACAGGTTGTGTGTGTGGGCGGGGGGGCGCATAGCAAGGGTGTACGTAGCTCATGACGTGGCCGTGATGATGTGGGTCAGGTGTTAGGTCAGACACGACAAGGATTAACTTGCCGCCGATACAAAGGGATGGATTAACGTCTCCAGTAGCTGCAGATATGGGTGATGAGCAGACCCAAAAGTGCCGCCCCCGTGCCGCCCCCCGCCCCCCCCCCTAGCTACGCTAGTGACGCTAATGGTGTTTGTGTGAGTACAGGAGACGCGAACAGTGTTTTTGTGTGTACAGGAGACGCCCATAGTGTTTGTGTGTACAGGAGACGCTAACAGTGTTTGTGTGTACAGGAGACGCTAATAGTGTTTGTGTGTCCTGGAGACACTCGCATACGCTACGCAGATTGTATAGTGTGTCCATGTTTTTTTTAATGCAATTGGTATCCATTATTCATTGGGCAATTGTTGATGAGCCTCTGAGAAAAAATCTAATCCGCAAAGGAACATAAAGATTAAACCCTTCACCTTGTGACCAAATTACCCCCCTTCCTCCTCCCACCCAGCACCTACTCTAACCCGGTCCATACGTTACGTTTGCTGATGACTCGGACACTTCCGTGCTAATATAGCGTACGGTCTACAAAGATATCTTTAGTCTAACCCAGTGGTTCTCAACCTGGGGACCATGGCCCCCAAAGGAGCCACGGCAAGAATTTAGGGGAGCCACGGCGAGCTGTTATAAATTGTACTTTCCAAATAATGTTGGGAATCTGAATTAAACAAAACTTGTATTACTTATTTTGACTTGGCAGAAGAGAATTTTCATTTTTTTGTCATTTTGTTTAATCATAACAATACAATTTTAATATTTACATACTTTGGTGCTAATTTTATTTTTATTTTTTACGGATTATTTAAGATTTCACAGGTCCAGTCCCTGTCTGTGTGACAGGCGCTGGACCGAGCTGCTGAACTGACTTGTTCAGTACGTGTCGTGTGTCATCCCTTTGCAAGTGGTGATAGGACCGAATGATCTCAGTCTGGCCTGGGATACCATCACGAAAACAGTGGAGTGTATTGTCTCTGAACCATATATTGTGTTTGAAATTGACCCAAGCATAATGTACGCCGTAATTGGTGTTACTTATTTTGTTTCATATTCATGTGGTCGCTGCTTTCAGGGCCGGATTCAGGAGTGGGCAATGTGGGCAGCTGCCCAGGGGCCTCCACATATTACAATATTTTATTTATTTGTTTATTCATTTGAATTATTTTTAATTTCATTCTTTAAAATTCATGTTTATCTATTCCATCACGTAAAACTATGTTCAGCAAGAAGCGTGATATAAATTAGGCTAGCTACTCCTTGAAATTCATGAATACCTGGTTTTCCTATGAACTGTATATTTTTAATGAATGCTATTGTTTGTGTTGCTAATAATATATTTAGAATTCCACAAACATATATTGATTAAAAATGAACCACATGGAATAACGAAATTGAGATTAAAAAATAAATAAATAAAATAGTTTTTCATTATCACTTCCATTACGAATGCCATCAGGGCGCTGTGTTCTAATTTCCTCTATATAACTGCATATGGCTTCAAAATTCTCCGAAGAAGTGTTCAAATTTCAAAATTTTCCCGGGGGGCTTACAGCGCCCCCCGGAACTCCAGAATGTTTAGGCTCGCTTCACTCACCACCCCACCCTCTTGGGTAGTTATAATGAGGGGGGCCTCCACAAAGAGGCTGCCCACGGGCTTCCACAGGTCTAAATCCGGCACTGGCTGCTTTACGTGGGTGAAATATTTGTACACATCCTTTATTAATTATTTCCTTATTAATTGGTGCCATTTGTTCATACTCATTCTTTACTTATATAATCCTACCATTTTTAGTGCTAAATTGGTATGACTCGCTATTCTTCTCATTCTTCCAAGTTGGGCAGTGCTTGTCAAAGGAGGCGTGTTCTTGCTTACAGGAAGTACACTTCAGCTTGCTAGCTTGAGTGTGAATGTTTACCTGTGTGCATGTTTGTGTATGACTGTATGTTTGCTTTATGTGTGAGTGCATGGTCGTGTTATGTATGTGAATGTGTGTGTGTGTGTGTGTGTTTGCCATTCTAACTCTTGTCCAATTTATCTGTCCTTCTTTATCATTCTTTAGTCTTTATCACTTGTCTGTTCTGGGAGAAAAATGAAGGAGGCCATGGGGATGTTGAAAATTCCTCAAGGGGGGAATGGGGGGAAAAAGGTTGAGAACCACTGGACTCTAACCTAACCGGTATTATTTTACTTTCGGACATAACTCCCCCGAAAGTTATAAACTACTGAAACATTTAAATCTCGCTATTCTGAGCATTTTGAATCTCGTGTATACATGGTGGAAATGGATAATAGCGACACAATTTAATTCAATTGATTTTAAGTAGTATTCAGTATTCGTCTGTGAGATGTTACTGTGCACCACTCATGCGCAATGTTGACTGACGTCATCCAGTCGTGACCAATGAGGTATCGATTTCATCAAGCGAATTTGTTTCAACCAATCATATGATTTTTCTGAAATGCAGCAGCCTGGGTATGACGAATTACATTTTATTGACAAGTTTCACAGTGACCGTGGTGGTGGTGGTTGGTTGTTGTTTGTGCTCTTACGATTATTTTAAGTTTATTGCCGAGTTTTACGAGAAAGACAATTATTCTATCCAATTCTTACGTATCCCTGGTCCTTCCACTTCTAACTAAGGTATTGTACTGTCGGACATGGCGTGCCCCAAAGTTTTTAACTGCTGAAACATTTAGGTTAGTTTAAGCTAGGCCTACCGGGGTCCGTCCCCGGCTAGGGGTCATGTTAGGCCTGTCGGGGGTCCAGGGGCGGAGCCCCCGGCTATGAATTAGGTTAGGTTTCGTTAGGTCAAATGACTCGTTTTCTCCCCCTCCCAAAATCCCCGATTCCCATGCTCTCCTCCATTATTGTGGGGCAAAATCTCAGTTTCCGCCAAAATTGAAGGTCAGATTTGTTTAAAACACACCAAAATACACCGGAAAAACATATTGGTCAACCCTAGGGAATCCTGTCCTAAAGTAAAAATTTACCACCTAACCTAAATATCTTGTAGACCGCACGCTATAGTAGCACCAAGGTAGGGGCCTCCACAGTCATTAAGGGCATCCAGCTTAAGTCCGGCCCTGTCCCTGGCTGCCAGCTGGGTGCATTACCTGTAGCGTCCCTGGCAGCCAGCTGGGAGCATTACCTGTAGCGTCCCTGGCAGCCAGCTGGGAGCATTACCTGTAGCGTCCCTAGCAGCCAGCTGGAAGCACCGTAGCGTCCATGGCAGCCAGCTGGGAGCACACCTGTAGCGTCCCTAGCAGCCCAGCTGGAAGCATTACCGTAGCCCCTGGCAGCCAGCTGGGAGCATTACCTGAAGCGTCCTGGCAGCCAGCTGAGGCATTACCTGTAGCGTCCCTGGCAGCCAGCTGGGAGCATTACCTGTAGCGTCCCTGGCAGCCAGCTGGGAGCATTACCTGTGAGCGTTCCTGGCAGCCAGCTGGGAGCATTGTAGCGTTCCTGGCAGCCAGCTCCCTGGCAACGCTGGGAGCATTACCTGTAGCGTTCCTGGCAGCCAGCTGGGAGCATTACCTGTAGCGTTCCTGGCAGCCAGCTGGGGAGCATTACTGCCTGGCAGCCAGCTGGGGCATTTACCTGTAGCGTTCCTGGCAGCCAGCTGGGGCAGTAGCGTCCCTGGCAGCCAGCTTACCTGCCTGGCAGCCAGCTGGGAGCATTACCCAGTAGCGTCCCTGGCAGCCAGCTGGGGCATTACCTGTAGCGTCCCTGGCAGCCAGCTGGGAGCATTACCTGTAGCGTCCCTGGCAGCCAGCTGGGAGCATTACCTGTAGCGTCCCTGGCAGCCAGCTGGGAGCGTCCTGGCAGCCAGCTGGGAGCATTACCTGTAGCGTCCCTGGCAGCCAGCTGGGAGCATTACCTGTAGCGTCCCTGGCAGCCAGCTGGGAGCATTACCTGTAGCGTCCCTGGCAGCCAGCTGGGAGCCCTCTCTCTCCAGCTCTCGGCGGTAACGCTTGATGTTCTTCACCAAGAGATCCTTCCTGGTCAGCTCGTAGTGGGTCGGGAAGTGGTTGATCATCCTGGGAGTAAAATTGATGAGGGTTTTTATGACCACGAAGGACGAAAGAATCAGGGTAAACAAGGTCTAGATTTAGGTAAGAGAGAGAGTGTGAAACGAAAAAATTGGATGAATATGATCTTGTGTACAGTTCTCCCCAAAAAGTATCGTCCCCTTTTCTCATCGATACAATGTCACGATGGACTAATATTTCCGGTCACTAATTGTGGTAGGCCTGCCTGCCTAGTATCTGTGAGGTTGCCAGTTATTATTCCTGGCATTTGTTGTAATTATGGTGAATAATATAATTATATTAATGTAGGGAAAATATATCGACGGCAGTCAAATAGTGGGTGTTTTCTGCTGGAAATCCATGACCAACATTAGTACCCGAGACTCATTGGAAAACACAGCTTGCACCGACAGACATGGAGAATGTCACTTTCCGAATAACATTATAGCAATAATTAAATGTTTGTTAACTATAAATAAATAAATAAATATATATATATATATATATATATATATATATATATATATATAAATATATATATATATATATATATATATATATATATATATATATATATATATATATATATATATATATATATATATATATATATATATATATATATATATATATATATATATATAAATGTGTGTGTGTATGTATATATGTATATATTTACCTCATTGCTAAGGTCTATATGTCGATATGTGAAGAGTGATGATACTGCCTCGTGTTGCCTGTGATGTCTCCATATTGAATGTCAATCCCATGGGAATTTGAAATTGAAATATTTTACTAAAAAGCAAAAACAAAAACTATTACATCAAAGGACAGGGTAGTATATTACTCCCACCCTCACCTTTGCCATCCCCTTCTGGGGTTTACAAAAACTTATAAAATCCCATTGGGGGGACTTGACGACATCGTCTCGTAGTGTGTATCAGATAATGTTTGGTTGCCAGCACGAATCATGAGATGATACGTTATATTCATAATTGTTACCTCATCAATTGAGGCAAAAATAATGTCGAAATGCAGTAAATCATAATGTCATTGTAATTGGATATGGCATCATCATACACCTGTAATTACTATATTTGCAAATGAACGTGTTACGAGTGTCCGCTGTTAGTTTCTGTTCTTTGTATAAAAATCGTTGTTTCGGATGGTGTGTGGGTGTCTCGGGCAGCTTCGCTCACTACTCGCCCACACCAACTGAGCCCTTATTTAAGTATTAACTTTGTTTATAACATTGTATTGTGTTTTATTGTATTGTTTTATTACATTAGGTTTGTACATAGGTTAAATATGTGGAATTAATGTCAGTAGGGTAATTTAAATATAGTTTTATGTTATAGCCAATCAGGATATGTTACGTCAGTAATTGGCGGTAAAAGGTGACATCGGTGACCAGCTGGTAGTCGGTCTAGGCACAGCTGTCTTTCAGTTAAGTAATATACTCTCTTATGTCTTGGGAGTTGTCATTTGTCTATTGTGATTTGTGTTGATTGATATTGTGTGATAATGTTGGACCTTCAGTCTTACTCAGCCACTTCCAAACATCTTATCGTATTATTGTTGTTTTAGTGTTTGTTTGTCATTATTATATTTTTAATTAAATCTACTTAATGAATTTTAATATACCTCATAGTAATGAGGTGATAATTTGGTGGGATCTATTCCTGGACCTATAGTGAATTTGTGATTGTTACACCCTACGAGGCCAAAGGGTCGTAACAAACGTAATATCGGATCATAATGTTTCATATTTCGTTCGAAGCGATTCCAGTGTAACCTCGGTTCATGGAAACATAGTAACGTTACATTCCTATTTGGCAACCATGCCCTGGGTCTGAAATAGTACCTAAGGTGCATAAATCAGCGGGGTTACTCATGAAGTTCTTTGTTTTGCTTATGGTATCACAAGTCATCCCATTTCATTACATTGACCTCTTGTGGGGCGGGCATCCGCCAGCTCCATGTATGGACACTCGATTGAGTAGTGCCCTTTGAGATGTTTATACACTTCAGTTATGTCGCCTCTTGCTATACAGCTAGCGCGGGAGAGTGTTACGAAAATAAGATAGTGACAGGGGGGTGGAGAGATATTAGGGGTACGATACTCAGTGAGAGGAAGAGACAGGAAACGATACTGACAGCATACCCGTCTCTCTCATGCTGCGTGAGAAAGGCGGGTATGATACCGACAACGTGAGATGAAGGGACATAAAACAATACTGATATGAGAACAATGAAAGAGAAGCAGATATGATACTAACACAGTGAAAATAAGAGCCAGAGGTACCATACTTACTGGTTGTCATTCATGCGATAGCCACTGTCAACACTGAAGAGCGAGCGGCAGGTCTGCGCCCCGGCCCTGTGACATATACAAGTATTACCAATACAGTACCTCCATTTAGCCATCTAAGATGCGTATATAACACACATCAATGGTAACACCAAGTCAAATTATGATAATTTGTTGTTGAAAAATGACACTGATTCCGAGAAATGTAACCGCAAATTGTCAGCAATCCACATAGGTAACAAAAGTAAGTGAAAACTTTTTAAACTCCCATATTCAGGTTTAAATCAGATGCTCATCTACTTTCACAAGATAGTTGAAATTCTGCGAAATACTTCAATTCAAAATATTAAGAATTTTGGTAGTAATTGCACTACTAATTAAGCACCGATGAAACAATTCTGAGGCTGCTTGGTATCGGTAGGATTTTAATTAGTTTATTTATTTGTCTGAAGAAAAATAATTTCGTGATGAAGGTGGAGGGTTGTGACTGCTATACTTTTTATTATTTATGTTTATCACTTATCAGCTCGCTAGCTGTTAAGAGACACCGGTTATACCTGGAGAAAACCTATTGCTATGCTTAGTAAGGTCACACTGTGCAACAGCCTCTCACATTTGTCCCCAGGGATCGAGCCTGGTGCATAAGTAAGAGGCACGCGCGTTATCGCTTTTTACTTTTTTAATTTTTTTATTACCTTTATCTTGTATCTGTACCAACTTCTTCCGTAGAGTTAAATGGAAGATTTTTTTTATCATTTTCATTATGAAAGACTGGTGAATTTATGTATGCGATGTATTTACCTATATATAATAAATTAACAGATTGATATTAAATATACTGTACAATACACTGAAAGTAATTCACACTTTTTTTTATCTCACCAGTAATAATTCCACTCATCATCAGGACTAACTTGGATCCAACCTCTTTTCTCAAAATTATTAGTAAGTACAGACTTTTCCATGTCCGTGCAGTATGCTATTCTGGCCGTCATTATTGCTTTTCCATGAACATTAAAATTATTTCCAACGTCTGCGTTTTCATCCACCGGACTTCGTGCTCTGTACTAGAGAAACAAATGTTTACATGGTTGTCATAGCAACGATAGAAAAATATAACTCATGTATATTTAAACTTTTAGTTCATATTTTATAATAATTCCATATGAAATTGTAAACTTTAATATATTTGTTGTAATTCAGGATTATAAAAAGATATCTGAGGTATTTGGTACAAACATCTTATTTTAATACAAACTATGTATTCACTTTGTGTTTAATTTGGCTGTTACAGCTTACAAGAATGTTCAAATTTTAAATTTCTTTAATCAAAATTACGTATGAAATAATATAGAAACCTAATAAAAAAAACTTTTTAGTTGTCGACATTCTGGTGAACATTCCATCACAACAAACAAACTTTGAACTCGGTGGAACATGTAGAGACCCACTGTTCCTAGTCCCAGGTCAATAGTGTGTACTGACAGCAAGTATCGAGTAGAAAGGAAAGTTAATTAAGTAAGTGTTATCATTCTTAGCAACTACATCACAATGAGATAAACAAGGGAGAAAAAATTAAAGCTTGTCAAGATTACCTTAAATTACCGAGTGGGTCAAATTTAGGTAAAATTTCACTTACTTCCACCCAAAGAATCTTGAGAATTTAATGGTTGGGTACATATTTGTTATAGGTCGAACACGGAAACTACTGACATCCATTTCTGTCGCAAATGAGCCGTTATGGAGATAGATCCCCCCCTCCCTCACGCCCAATTACCAACAATATTGGGTATTTTTGCATTAGTGCACACAACTTTTCTACCCCAAATCTATTATCACATTGGAAAAACAAGTTTAATTTTAAGATAATTTTCTTCTGTGCAAATTTACCCAATATTCCTTGTTTAAAGCAAGGACTAAAAAGTACCTTATCCTTAGTTCAAAGTGGGCAGAGCTTTGGAGTACCAGTAGAGGGAAAATACGGTAAAATTTTAGTTTTGGTCATCCCTGTATTTAGATAGGCACTGGATATTTTGTCGTGACCGGCTAAGTTCCTACTAATGCTATTTTACCGTGAGTGCACTCTGATTGGCTAATCGTCCAATACTGGCAAATAACGTGAGAACGGTACATGACTGTGACTGGCGGTATTTGGCATTCCTTGGTATTATTATACTTTTGGACATAGTGCCCCTGAAAGTTTTTAACTACTGAAGCATCTAGGTCTCGCTATTCTGAGCATTTTGAAGCCCATACATATCATGGCGGAAATGGGCAATAGCGACACAATTGAATTTAATTGATTTTAAGTAGTTTTCAGTCTTCGTCTGTGAGATGATGTTATCGGCGCATCACGCATGCTCAATGTTGACTGACGTCATCCAGCCACAACCAATGAGGTATCGATATCATCATGCAAATTTTTTTTGACCAATCACATTTGATTTTTTTAAAGGAAGCAGACTGGGTACGATTTTAATTTCATTGACCAGTTTCACAATGGCCGTGGTGGAGTTTGGTTGTCGTTTGTGCTCCTACGAGCTCCCTGGTCCTTCCACTTCTAACTTAAGGTATTGTACTTTTGGAAATGGCACGCCCCAGAGTTTTTAACTACTGAAACATTTAGGTTAGTTGAAGATAGGCCAACTGGGGGTCTGGGGGCAGAGCCCTTGGCTAGAAGTTAGGCTAGGTTTTGTTAGGTCAGATGACTCGTGTCATTATAAAAAGAGATGACACTTACTTGAACCTTATATAACCTGACCTAACTAGCCAGTCATATCAAACAAAAAGTACTGAACTAATCAGAGGGCCCTCACGGTAAAATAGCATTAGTAAGAATTTAGTCGGTCACAGCAAAGTATCCACTACGATTTAGATACCTAACCTAACCGAACCTAGCCACAGAACCCAGGAACTAATCTAACCTTACCGGTGGGGGTTAAATTCCTAAGATTCCCCAGATGACCGAAACTATAATAATTACCAAAAATACGTTAATTTATGAGGAAACCGTTACCACCAGAAGTTGTTCTATTTCGTAAATTTTTTCCACTTACTTTCTTTTCATTATAGTTAGTATTTTAAAAGAGGTGACAACACCAAATTTTAATTAGAAGTATTATATATTTTATTTTGTAGTTTTTCTCTATCTGTGATCATAAATTACCTGTAGTGGGCAGGGCATGGGGGGTGATAGAAATTGTGACGTTTCTATGGTTAGTCATGTCAGGTTCTATTAAATGTCGCCTCTTAAAATACTTCCTATAATAAGAACATCTGTGGGAAAAAATGAATGAAATCGAACAACTCCATCTAGTGGTAGCGGTGTTCTCGTACATTACCTAAAATACTAACAAGAACACCAAACAAACCATTGAAAAATTATCTAACGTTTCCTATCTTGTAAAAATCCTAAACTATAAAAGCTTACATGATTCAATGTTTAGTGTGTGATGATGATGGCGTTTTTGATGTTCAGATGAGGAGGTACCCATGAACTCTAAAGCTATTCTTAACCTTACAAGTTAGGAAAGGTTAGGTAAGGTTTTCAAAGGTTTGTTTTGTGTTTGATTGGTTAAGATTTGTTTCAGGTCGAACATGGAACTTTGTACTGTATATCTTTTTATATAGGGAAAAAGACACAATGAAACTCCACTTTATTCTATTGTTTCCATCGCAAATTTAATTTTTTTAGTATTTTAATTGATATGATCCCCCGCCCCCTTCAATTACCAACAATATTGGGTTTTCAAAGTGGGCAGGGCTTTGAAATTGGGGGAATATGTGGGGTAAAATACTAAATAGAACACCAAACAAACCTTTGAAAACCTTACTTATCCTTTCCTGGTTGGTTAGGTCAGGTTCTATTAGGTTCTAGTAAATGTTGCCTCTTTTAAAATACTGTACAGTCTCTCCTCGACTTACGACGGGGTTCCATCCCGACGACCAGGTCGTAAGTTGAAAAGGCAAAAATAATACATAGAAATTCTAAAATGGGTGTTTCTTTTTCTTCTCGGCACCACGAGAACTCTCACTTTTATGCTGGAAGGCTTACGAAGTACGGTGTGCAAGATCCAAGGCTCTAGCTTGATCAAAGGCGTGTGAGAGCCTGATTTTCCAATAGACGTTGATGTATATTTGCAGAAGACAGTCCGTTGATGAAGGCATCCCGTACTAACTCTTGATGATATTATTTGGCTGTGACAACTTTTAGAGTACAATCTTTGCCGAGTCTGTGCAAGTCGCGAAGAAATTCATCCAGTGTTTCGGAAGGACGCTGACGTCTTGTGGCGAGCTGGTGTCTGGGGAATATCTCTCTTTTTTTTTCACATACACCTTTTCCAACACTTGTATAGCAGTTTCAAACTCCGTAGCATCAGCAAAGTATTCAAACACAGTAGCAGACACACAGCTTGTCAGACGCTCTGTCTCCACACTTGTCAGTAAAGTTTTCAAAAGTTTTACGCCAATGCTTGTATTCCTTCTCAGCAGCATGTCGGGGCAGAGTATGCGTTCCATGTTGCTAATAGAATACGAGTTGAATAAATTGTCGTATGAGATCAAACACCTTCAGTAATCAAGGCTTTATTCAACTAAAAAATCCATATACATCTGCAACAGAACAAAACAAAACCCAATTAGAACAAGAGAACATTTAAAGTAAAAGTAAACACAAACATAATTTATTCCATATTATGACAGTGTGCAAGTAACCGAATAAAAAAAATATGAAGAAGTTGTGTTTATCTACTTGAAATTACCAGTTGAAAAATAACCATAACATAACTTCCGCTAAATCTCCCTGGTGAACGAAGAAATGTTTGCGTTCATTTTATGTTTTCGACCTAATGATGATTTTTTTTGGCACAATCTGTATGGAAGATTGTGTGGTTATGTAGCTGAATAAAAAAAGTGAAGAACGTTATATTTATCTACACAAAATTATTACCCTAATCTTCTCAGCATTCCTCATAGACTTGTTCATGGAGAAATAACTTTGACAGAATCGGTGGACTGGCCTCTCTTTAGTTGTAAGAATGTTTAAGCATTTTAATAAGAATAATAAATATATTTTACTCACGTATGAAGGGCATGAACATTGGTGGCGGTGTAGAATGTTTGTTGAACATTAACAGCTGTGTGGAGAAATCCTCGGTGGATCGTCCAACTTACTTTCTAGGGTAAATGTGGCCTTACTCTTCTTTGTTAGTGTCCCTAGGCAGAGAGGCACTTTGAGAACATTTGTATGGAGTCATGGTAATGAAAGCAAGCAAAAAACTGAAGTTAATTCAAGCAAACTTTTGGTTATGTCTGGACCAAGCATTAGCTAAACACTGACCCACATGGCGTAGGGACACTACTTTGGACTGTAATGAACTCGACCACTGGCCTTCACAAAACATTGCTACCTTACGGTTTGTCTGAATTTTTTGGTGTTAGCCCTACACAACCCATGTTAGAACAAATCTTAGCCCCGTGTTAGCGATACTGGGTAGTAATAAAAAAAATTGTCTACCATGTTTGTTTCTGATTGAACAGTTATTTTTATAGAATAAAAATAATAGAATACAAGATAATAGAGTATTTTAAGTTTGGCAGGTTTGTTTGGTTCTTCTAAAAGAAAAAGTATTTTCATGAAAATGTGTTCAATTACAAACAAACACGGTATACAGTACAGTAGTACCCCGATTTACACGGTCAATTGAACCCATGGGGTACCGCGGAAAGTGAAAACCGCATAAAGTGAACAACAGAACATATGGGATTAATTCCAATAGAGACTGGCCCGACCCCCAAACTCCACTTTTTCAGACACAATACCTACGTTGTAGTGAAAATTACATCTTAATTTTATGATGGTATGCACACACAATTAATAGTTAAGAGAAATATCAATAATATTAGGTTTTTTAACACTTACATTAGTAGAAAAGATGGCTGGGCACACGGGGATGGGCGGTTGGTTCAAAGGCAGAGGGCAGATTATTGGCCCTCACCTGTATCACTTGTATCAATTGTATCACTATCCACCACAGAGGCTTGCAGGACCTCTTTGTCAAACCCCTCAAAGTCCATATAAGTCCATATCCTCAATATCACTATCACTGACTTAGGCCGGCTCTGGTGGGTGGCGGGTGAAGAACTCGGTAATGTTTTGATGACTGGGTGACCTTGTGCGCATCCTGCCCACGCCGCTTCCCGCGTATATGAGTAGATGCACCGCGGAAAGTGAAAGTTCGGTTCTGGCGAGGGACCGCGTAAATGAGAAATCGCGGAAAGTGAAACCACGTAAAGCGGGGTAATACTGTATATGGGAAACCTGTTGGTGTTGCCTACCAGATGTCAATACTGTAATTGTAAAAGTTGTTCTGTGTAGTCTCGATTTACGCAGATTTCCTTTACGTGTTTGGTCATTTACGCAGCACCTGGCCAGACCGGCAATTATTAGTTATGCGGTACATTCCATCATTTACGCGGGAAGCGGCGCGGTCAGGGTACGCACAAGGTCGCCCAGTAAACAAAACATTACCGAGTTCTTCACCTGCCACCCACCACAGCCAGCCCAAGTCAGCGATAGTGAAAGTGAGGATACGGACTTGGAGGGGTTTGGCAAAGAGGCCCTGCAAGCCTCTGTGGTGGATAGAGATACAAGTGATACAGGTGAGGGCCAATAATCTGCCCTCTGCCTCGGAACCAAACACCCATCCCCGTGTGCCCAGCCATCTTTTTCACTAACGTAAGTGTTAAAAAACCTAATATTATTGATATTTCTCTTAAATATTAATTGTGTGTGCATACCATCATAAAATTAAGATGTTATTTTTACTACAACGTACGTATTGTTGGAAAAAGGGTAGTCTGGGGGTCGGTCTAGTCTCTATGTCAATTAATCCCATATGTTCTCTTATTTCTTTTATGCGTTTCTCGTTTTACGCGGACCTCCACGGGTTTAATTGACTGCGTAAACCGAGACTATACTGTATTGCGCATATTGTATTCCTCATGCACTTTTGGTCATTTTCTTGAGGTAAGAAATTACTTTAAGTTGGTGCTAAGGGTGCACCACAGTTATCATTATTACCCTTTCTTTTATAGAAATAAAGTTTACTCAAGTTTAGGGTTCAAAATACCAGGCCGTGGGACCCAGTTTGTGATCAGGATTTAATAATTAAATTTTTTTTTTATTGGGTTATCCTTTACCTCCACACTGAAGGATAACTCCTTGCTGGTTGTGAAGATAGACTTTTTTGATATTAACAAAAAGGAATGGATTAGAGCATCTCTTGTTATGTTTACGACAAAGCTCCAGCCGTAACCCTTTGTAGGGTAACTTTTTACCAAGTGATTATCCTTTGTGAGTTATAAATGTGAAAGATAATCAATCTAATTAGTAAATTTATTCAATCCACAAGTTGAGACTCGGGTCTTGGGGTTTTGACCCCCTAGACTTGCTGATAATACAGGTAGTTTTTTTATTCAAACTCGGTTATAATTGGGATTGCAGGGGTTGATTTTCCATTTCCTTCAAAATCATAGGCTTGGAAAATAAAACTTTAATAAATAAAAATTAATTGCAGTCACTTTTGAAATATTTTCACAGGTGGAAGATGACACTGTACTTTGACTGTATAGTCGATAGCCCCCATGCAAGTGCCATCAATACCCAAATAGCATGGCACCCCCAGGCTACATGTCTTGCTGTAGCTGCTTACAGCGAAGATAAAGGAGGAACAGTGAATGTTTACACAGGGGAGGTGAGTTCCATAGGTTGTTCATAATACTGTAGTATGCATTTACTATTATGTAAATTTGGATAAAAGAAAAGAATCATGAGTGGGAGAAAGGGCATCCCATTTACCTCTCCCATTGTAATCTTTCCATTAGTATCATGGATGAGAAGTTAAGGAGTAAATTTGGTGCATTATCTGCCAGACCAATCACTCTAGTCTTAACCCTCCCAGAAGGTGTGCAGGTACTGTACTAAGAGTAGGTCTGGATGTAATGCTAGAGTCAGAACTTCAGACTTAGTTGAAACATAGCTAGGGATAGTTACAGGTTACCAAGATGGAGTATTGATTCCTGTTGAAAGAATCACAAATGAATTTCAAATCTTATGCAAGTCACACTACAACTATCTGTATTTAAAATAATTGTAAATTAATGAAACCATGAAATTTTTGGTGAGTGGCAGTGATTTATATAAACAATTAAGAAAATAAATACAGTATACAGTACAGTAAAACCTCGCAAAGGTGGACTATTTGGGGGGGAAGGGGTGTCCGGGATAAGATGATGTCCTCGTCGGAGCCAATTTTTCCCAAACGACTGCCATTGTAAACAATAAATGAGTACAGCACCAATGTGTCCAATTTTTATGAAAGAAATACGTGTTTTTCAATAAAAATTATTAAAAAAAATTATGTACATAAAGTACAGTACTGTACACTTACTTTCAGTTCACTGATAAGGTCTTGGGCTTAACCTTTTCACCACCCTTAAGGATTCCAAACACATTCTTAGGGGCCATGGTTATTATTTGATTTTTCAATAATAATGCAAAAAATATGAATGCTACTTCAACCTATGGGGAATGTACTAAATGTATAAAAACAATAAATAATGATATAAAAATCACCAAAATTACAGTGCCGTATTTTATGGCATATAAGACGCACTCCCCATTTTAGCAAAGAGTATTTAGGAAAAAACTTTTGTGTGTATATTCCTCCTGTTGCCATAGTTTTCTTAAAATAATATATACAGTACCAAGAAATGTGAGGAATAAATAAAAATAATACCAACAACAATACTCTACAGTATTACCAAATCGGTAAATAAAAGCCTTATGAAAGTTTAACATAGTCGCCACTTGCATACACTCTGTTTCCCCATTGTGATAAAGACCAGCTGGGATGCTGATTCCCTAGCAACGCCCCCTCCCTCACTGAGCCAGCTAACTCGCGTATAAAGAAATGTATACCTGTATTGCCTTCAAGTGTTTGCCCTAAGGACAATATTTTTTTTTTTTTTTAAACATGTATGTAGGATGGTGTGTACAATCAAAGACAAAAGTCGTGTTGTGGTTTTGTCCGAAGATTAAATATAACTTGTGAAACATTATGAGAGCCCCCTACCACAAGGCAGAGCGCACCAAAAGTTTGAGCCCTTCGGCATATGTTTTCACCAAATTTAACGACACGACTTTTGTATTTCATTGTACATGCAACCGAGTAAAAATAAATGAAGGAAGTTTCACATATTTACCCAAAAATAAGAGTTGAAAAACCATAACACCTCTCAGCTTGGCCCAGTAGCCTGGTGGGTAGTGATGAGTCTTACCTGGCTACAATGTCATGATTAATCATTATTAAGCACAATTATGTCGGTAAACACTAATAACAACAGTGAATCCAGTGAAATATGGTAGGGAGGGAGGAGAGTTACAACTGCAGACGACAGTAACTAGCAGTCACTCACTGGTTCCCAGGCTCCTGTTGCCAAGCATATGATCAAAATATGTAGGGGGCAAATTCGGATCTTGTAATCTAATTTCAAAACAGTGACAGGCACCGTGATAAACAAATTATATAAACCATTCATTTACCTACAATAACATAAAAAGAAACATTGTATCATTACTAGTGAATGAAATATTCCCCCCCCCCAAAAAAAAATTATAACTCTCGGGCACTAGTGTCCCGTACGCTGATGCCTTGGTCTCTTGAAATTTTGGGTCAAAGTGGAAATGTCATCTGAGGACATTTTGTCCTTTTTTTAAATTTTGTTAAAAATAATTTTAAAATAATTTTTTGTCAAACAATTTTGTCTGGCTTAGCGATCTCTGCTTTAGCCGGGTCTTCCTTAACTAGGTTTTACTGTAGACTGTATACAGTACTGCACTGTCCAAGAAATATTTTATTTTCAGCTGACTATTGATTGCTTATAATACAGTACTGTATACTGTATTATGAATGATAAATGTCCCTATGGTGTGATACCCAGGAGGACAACATGTTGAAGCTAAATGCTTTTGTCAAGTCCTATCACACTGTATGGAATGGTCCTACTGTATGTCTTTTTTATCAACACTATTATCAGTAGTAATATATCTGTTAGCCAGAATCCTTCTTAACTGAAACTCTCCGATAGCCGGAATTGAAATTTTCTCTGAAAATCGCCTCCAAAGCCGTAATTTTCCTGAAAATTACGAGTTTGGGAACGATTTTCACAGGGGCACATTTTTTAGAAAATTTTCCCGGTACCCGGAAAATTCCGGGAATGGGAGATTTTTCCGGGTTCGAGAGATGAAAATCAGGTGCATTTTCCGGAAACTCCGAGAGGTTTTTTCCGGTACCCGGAAAATTCCGGGATGAGGGATTTTTTGGGGGCTTTGAGAGAGTTGTCTCGTTACCCGGAAATCTCTCATTCTTGGAAGTGCTGTGCATCAATTGTTCTGACTAATGGAGATATCACTGGATTTCTATTTCTATGAAACATGTGTAATGCTTATACAGTATGTCTGAGTATCCAATAGTAACCTTATATGGTAATGTATTCAAGAATGTAATTTCAATTTTGTGAAACTTTTTAATAATACCTACATCTGATACCTGTACTATTGTGTGAGTACAGTATAATACTGTACAGCCATATTTTATTCCACCAGGGTAAACTGTGCCATGAGGTTGATATTCCACCACATCCGACGGCTCAGGTTACATCCATTGTTTGGCACCCCAGCAAAAGGATTATGGCAGTTGGCTGGGAGTCAGGAGAACTGTTCCTTTGGAACGACCATGAACATGAACTCCATGAAATTCAGAGTCTCCATCGAGCACCTATCTCCGTTCTCAAGTTTAGTGTGGGTGGAACAAGACTTGTGTCTGCAGATGCCGTAAGTACATGATAGTCTCTTATTATTATGGAAAATACGATGTAATAATAATTTTAATATGGAATATACAGTGGGCAAAGCCAGGATTCGGTAAAAGTGTTTCCAAATTAGTAGCTAGACATACTTGCAAGTCCACCCCCATTCCCACTTCTGTCCATAGTGTTTCTTTAACAAGCATCAAAGTATCGTACAGCTCTTCATGGCAAAACTGTACAGTACAGGGGATCAAGAAATCTTCCAAATGAGGGGTGCATACATAAAATGGCACCTAATGTAGGGTTGAAACTTGAGAGAGCACTTCAACATCAATACATCATTACTGCTATACAGTATTAAGTTTTCTGTTGGCCAGAAAAAACTATTCCTGCAAGACAATATATGAGTAAGACATAGAATATCATGCACTGAAGTCATCAGATTCTCTATTAGTTACAATAACAATAACAAATATAGATTATTGGTTAAATACAGCAAAGATGAAGATAATTGTAATTTTTGGTAGGATTCAAAGATAAGTTGATGCTGAAGCATTGGAGGGGTACACTCATCCCACAGGAAAAAACTGTTTTAAAAAACGAGTTTTAGATATTTTATTTTGAACATGGTTTTTGTCATGTATTAATTATAATACAGTATATCCTCTATTATATTTGATGTGTTCCAAACTCGTAAAATTCACATCTTCATAAAATATGACTTAGTAAAGGTGTTAGTTAAGGCAAATTGTAGGTAGAAGGTGATGATTAGTGGTGTACAGTAATGAAAAATTTTGTTGTCCAGCAACCAAATGATAATACAGTACAGTATATTTTTTGTAACTTATTTTTTGGTATTTTTATTTATTCCTCACATTTACTGATACTGTATATAATATTTTAAGAAAACTATGGTTACAGAAGGAAAATACACACAAGTTTTTAATTTTTCCTAAATACTCCCTGCTGAAATGATGGGTGCATCTTTTATGGCTGCGTGTCATATGCTGTAAAATACGGTACAGTATACGGGTACTTGCTTACACTGAGGTGGGTGGTCGTCGGTTGCATCCCATGGCGACATGTGCGCCAAATATATTAAAAAATGTCTCGTAATTATATATACAGCTGCTCCCTGACTTACGACGGGGTTAGGGACCCAACTCCAGGTCGTAAGTTGAAATGGTCGTAAGTCGAAAATGCTTAAATAATACTTAGAAAATCTAAAATTGATGTCTCTTTTTCTTCTCATCACCACAAAACTCTCACTTTTAAGCTTGCCAGCCATTTTAAAGTGAAATACAAACAAAAATTTTGTCAGTACACAGCGCAATCACTGACGTTGGGACTCGAAAATACGTAATTTGACAATTTTGGTACGACTGAGGCGGTTGTATGTCCGGGTGGTCGTAAGTCGAGTAGGTCGTAATTCGGGGAGTAGCTGTATATATATATATGCAGTTCCTCCCCGACTTACGACTACCCGCACTTACGACCTGCCTCGGTCGTACCAAAATTTTATCAAATTACGTATTTTCGAGTCAACGTCTGTACACAGACAAAATTTTCATTTGTAATTCACCTTAAAATGGCTGGCAAGCTTAAAAGTGAGAGTTTTGTGGTGATGAGAAGAAAAAGAGACATCAATTTTAGATTTCTATGTATTATTTAAGCATTTTCGACTTACGACCTGGATTTGGGTCCCTAACCCCGTCGTAAGTTGGGGAGGAGCTGTATTTATAAATTTGTACAAAGATGTAAGTACTCGCAATATTGCTTCTATGATTGGCTGGCAAAATAATCAGCTGCCAAGGTATACTGTGCGTATCATGTACTATTGAGATCAGTACAAAGGGACACCAAAAAATATTCATGGCACAAGAGCACTTACTCTGTCCATAGGTCAACAGATCCTGATGATCAGGAGGAACTGTGGCTAGCATTGCCCTTTCATCTTCCGTCTTTTATTTCTTTTGTTAGAAAGTTGTGTACCCATGCTGTAACCGGTTATCTGGGGGTGACTTATTCAGGGGGCAGGAAACTAGTCTGTAAACAGGTTTAAAAAGTTAGCTATATAAAACAATGTATACACAAAAAGCATCCTTTGGTTTGAGAGCCCTAGAAAGCCTGTAATCCTGTTTTCTAATAAGGGTCGTTTATATTTGTACAGTCTGGTGCTACAGTGGGCTGGCGGGTGGATAACTCTGGAAATCTGCAGACAGTATTTACACACGAGTTGAAAGATCCCCTTGTACAGATTGTCTACAGAGTCAATATCAACACAGACAAGAATCTTTCAACATCAGATATCAGGTAAATTGTTTAATCTTTAAAAGTTCCAATACCAAATCGGATATCATTTACTACATAAGATTATCCATAACAAAGTGAGCTCTTACTCTACTGCTTTGCTAGTTTATCATTTTAAGTAGCCTGTGAGGTTTTGCATCATATTAAGTAGCATGTGAGGTTTTGCATCATGAGCAAGTATAAATTGTGTTATAATGAATACAGCTAGACCCCGACTTACGATGGGGTTAGGGACCCAATTCCAGGTCGTAAGTCCGACATAAATAAAAAAATAAAAAAAATTAATTTTTTTTAATAAAAAATCTACAATGAAATACAGTACAGTAAAAGTAATAAATAATGAGGAATGGATACAGTACAGTGAAAGTAATAAATAATGAGGAATGGATACAGTGTGACTGAGCACTTACCTTTAATGTAGTCAGCTGAATGCACATGGGGCCCCCATAATTTTCTAATTAAACATGGAGACTACATTAACTGGAAACGTTTCGGTATAGAAAATGCGTGCGTCATTTGAAGAAAAAAAAATGGTCACAACTGCGGCGGTCGTAAATCCCGACGGTCGTAAGTCGAAGCAATCGTAAGTCGGGGTCTAGCTGTATAGTTCATTTTTATCTTTGGATGTAAAGCTTAAGAGGAGATGGAAGGATGGGGATGTAGGACACTAGAATTGAGGTGGATAGACATCCAGGAAGAAAGGTGTGTGAATGATGAGTGGTAAGTATAGCAATTAGTGTTTTTGGGGAAAGGACATGCTACTAGTGGGTGATGTTGATGGTGTGAAGCAACAAGAGCAAACTAGGTAGGTGGATATTTGTTGCTTTTTTGTGAAGGAGAAGTACCTTGGTAGAACACATCCATTACAGAAGTAAGCATAAATGAATGACACTGAATGAAGTGGAAGTGTGTTTATGTGCGTTTTTCATGATTATGGCCACTCTACTTTATACTGTAATAGGAAAAGGTTTGACAAAGCTAGAACAAAGTTTTGGCATAGGTTGAGTCTCAGAAGACTGGCACCTTTGATTAGTAATAGAAATTGTAATTTACATTTTATAATAATATATTGTATATAGTGAGACCTCCCAAAGTCTGACTATATGGGGCTCAAGGCTGTCCAACTTATTTAGAATTCTGACATATGCATAACTTCCACCTAGGTGCATTCAACCATCATTTTGCTGAAAAATTCCTTCCCAAAACAAAATTGAAGTTGACACTATACAGTACATTTACACTGCATATACTTTTATTGTAGCAGATGAATCTTAGGTGGAGGACAATGGGGGCTGCTTACACTTACAATGCTTATATTCACACTTATATTTTATTACATTATTAGTTACACTTGTATTTGGTTATACTTGTACTGTATCTAGTATGCACTTAAATCTGGCCGTCATAAAAAGTAATTCACTTCAGCCCAAACTCCTCACAGATAACCTGCATGGAGACCTGTGAATTGATTCTTTCTCATATCTTCAGTTTCTCTTTAATTGGTAGAGTTCTAAGCACCATAACTTTTCTCCCAGTGGTCCTCGGTGGTTTTGTTTTGTCTTTACGTGCTTTAAAGACCATAATAATGCACTAGTGAAGCACTAAATACAAAATAAAATTCAGAGTGTGCAGTGGAGCAATGGTCACAACAACAAACATGCAGGAACTGACTGTTGCCCCACACAACTTCCCCCTAAGCTAGAGCTCACCCGACTAATGGGGGCCTTATTGTAAAATTATTTCTTTGATGTACATGCTTAGATATGATTAAATGCATTTTTGTTCCTTAGTGGTCTTGCTCGTGCTGCTGTGAGTGGTGATGAGAGAGCCTTGGATATCTTTAGCTCCTGGAGGCCAAGGACAGGGCACAAACGCATCACTCTTGCTGCTAATACTAAGGACAATCTTGACTTTTTCTTAGGATCATCTACTGGTTAGTATTCCATCTATTGAAAATTAATAGTGGATTATATCGTATTTTCAGGAAATGCACTACCGTACCATATATTGTTAGTGAAATAAGAGAGTGCAGTTAGGTAGCCAGCCCCTTGCCTTTTTTGTACCTATTGAGGGAAGCAAAGTCTGGTTCACACTAGCCTGTTTTGATGGCTGTCTCGGATGTCATATAGTCATCAATGATGTCACGCTGGCCTGTACTATTCATACACAATACTGTACTGTATATACAGTGTCATAGGTTGAATTGAATTGAATTGAAACAGTTTATTTTACCAGAAAAATAGATACATAAATAGAGGGGTATCTGTATATAGTAGCACTAGAAGCACTGTAGGTCAAAATAATTATGAAGAAAATTAAGCGTGGGACTTTTGGCAGAGTACCCGTAATGCTGGAAATCCATAACCCAAGTCATCCATAACCTTAGTTTTCACCTAACCTAAATGAATAATACAGTACATAAATAATGAATAATAATTAACTAAGTACTGTAACTCAATAAATAGATAAAATATTACAGGGTCAATCTGATTCTTCTTTTCCATTAAGTGTCCAAATTAAACACGAAGTGGCCTCTCACTCAATAATTGCCGTTACTATTTTCTTCTTTAAAGTGGGGTCCCCATGTGTAATTGCAAGGAAGAAGGCATAGCGATGGTCTTCATTGTCCATGTTTGTTTACCTTTTAACTCCCCCTTCTGAATGGACCACCATTTTTGTGACGGCTGACAAAATGGGCTTGTGTGAACCAGGCTGAAGTGGGCAGTAAAATTTTACTGCTTCTTGAAGCCTTACAGCTTAATATGGCTCGTTTCTGTTGATAATCTCGGTGTTGCACTCAGGTTGGTGTATATACTGTAGCTTAGATTAAATCATTAATGTAATTACTGCACTATAAGCTGAAAATAAATGAAAGTAATCCTAATCACAGGTTTTTAAAGTGTAATGTCAGAACTAATATGCAAAAAAATAATTTAACAAAAGTTTTCACTCTTCCTAAAAAACAATAAAACAAAAATACTCGTGCTTAAAAAAAATTACACTTGCCTAAAAAATAATATAACATCAATGAGACTTGTCATGGGATGTGGTAGGGCTTTACTGAGGCACCATCTGCAGGTGACAAGGTACATGTGAAAGTTAGCTTCAATGAATTTCAAGGCTTTGTTTTGATTTTACTGTTTTCATTGTTTAGGTGCCTTAGTTTTGCTTGTTTGCATTCAGTAAACCAGTATATTAAAAGATTAGAGAAGTTGGGTTGAAAATTGTCTGGTAGGTATTGTATGCATGTGCTTGTATATATTTGCATGCATATGATTATGCAGAGGAACAAAGGTCATGCTGCAAATGAATATAAATTTGGAAAATTCTAGTCCTCTCATACATTTTTTGGTTGTCCTATAGGTGTGCTGTATCATGTCAGTGACAGCGGTAACTGTGTTGAGGTGCTTCAGGCTGATGGTGGAATAAAACGTCTATTACATCATGAATCCAGAAACTTGCTTGTGGTAATCACAGAGAGCATGGTTCTAGGGCAGTTTACTGTTGCAACAGATGGGTCTGTCACAGAAAGCAATAAGGTGAGAAACTGTAATGGGCATTTTGATGATTTAATGATTAACAACCTCATGTATTCTAAGTCAAATTAGAATTGATTTCTGATACTGTACTCAGGTTACAAACAGATTGAAAAGTAATGGAATAAGGATGCATTTGTGGAACAGTGCAGTTGGAAGTCAATAATTGCTGTAAGTTAAATTTTCACAATGGCTAAACAGAAAATGGAGGAAGCTAGTAGTAGTGATTTATTTTCAGGATGACACTCATTCAAGAGAATAAAGTCTACATTGAGAATCCTTCTTGCTAGGACTACTGTCCAGTTCTATGTAGACAGATATAACGGGTTTTGTGAAAAATTTTGGCTCTATAATTGTGTAATAATACTTATTCTGATGTGGATAGTACTTCATCACTTAAAGATAGTTAACAATCCATTTAAAAATAAAACTATGCAATACTGTACAGGTATATAAATAAATAGATTGGACATAAATTTGTACTGGTGGATATGAAAACCGTTATTAAAGTGTGCTGGATAGTAAGGTAATGGCTTAATGAATTTTTTTTTACCCTTAATACTGTGTACAGTATTACCCCGCTTTACACGGTTTCACTTTCCGCGATTTCTCATTTACGCGGTACCTTGCCAGAACCGGACTTTCACTTTCCGCGGTGTATCTACTCCTATACGCGTGAAGTATAATTTTTTTATTTTTTTTATTTAGCTCATAAAATTCATACAAATTACCCGGCCAGAATATAATTTACATTCCTGGAATTCTTACAATATGATGATCATTTTGAATATAAACATCATGAATTTTGCATTAGACATACAAATTTTAGATCTAATGTAATAATTTGGTTTACACAAAGCAAGTATTTTATCTTTTGTGCAAAATATATGAAGTTTACATTCAAAATATTCCCTGACCTGCAAGGAATCCAGAAATGTCAATTATATTATCCTAACTTTAGTCTGAGGTATTATTTATTACTAAAAGTTAAAATCTAGTTTTTTCACCCAACATTTCACTGGTAGGGAGGGAAGGTGGGGGATGGGGGGGAGGGTTGGGACCGACCGACCATCTGGCGCGGTTGGAAGAGGGGAGGAGGCAAGTTGGGGTACAGGTACTTTGATTGACAGATAGTGTGTGAAGAATATTTTTTTTTTTATTAACTGAAGATATTTGTTTTAGCTCATAAAATTCATACAAATTACTGGACCAGAATATAATTTACATTGCTGGAATTCTTACAATATGATGATTATTTTGATTATAAACATCATGGATTTTGCATTAGACATACAAATTTTAGATCTAATGTAATAATTTGGTTTACACAAAGCAAGTATTTTATCTTTTGTGCAAAATATATGACGTTTACATTCAAAATATTCCCTGACCTGCAAGGAATCCAGAAATGTCAATTATATTATCCTAACTTTAGTCTGAGGTATTATTTATTACTAAACGTTAAAATCTAGTGTTTCACCCAATCATTTCTCAGAGAGGTAGGGGCCAGTGAGCTGGGAAGAGGGGGGAGGGGGATTTGAGTCCATTATTTGAATGGACATTATCCTGGCGACTGTATTTCTCTTAAATATTAATTGTGTGAGCATACCATCATAAAATTTAGATGTTATTTTTACTACAACATAGGTATTGTGTCAGAAAAAGTGGAGTTTGGGGGTTGGGCCAGTCTCTATTGGAATTAATCCCATATGTTCTGTTGTTCACTTTACGCTGTTTTCACTTTCCGCGGTACCCTGTGGGTTCAATTGACCACGTAAATCGGGGTACTACTTATACATTTTATTTTTTATTTTTAATAATTTCTCTGTTTAGTACTGTAGTTTCATAATTAGTCTTGTCTCTGCATAATTTGTATGACTTGTTCCTGTTTTAAGATTAAAAGACAACTACTGTATACAGCATATAGAATCTTTCCCAAACTTCCACACAACTATATCTGATAGAAGACCACTGTCTCCATTATTATTTGGTCATATAATGCTTAGAAAACCAGTATGGGAGCTACAGTGTACTTTTGTTAAAAACAACTGGCTTTTCTTAAAGCTTCAGTTGTTTTTCACTCTTGATATAAAAATTTATTTTATTGCAATATCTTTGCCTTTCAGGTCAAGTTGAGTGGACGAAGTAATGATATTCAGGTTTCCTGGGCAGGCATTGGGTTGCTGGCCGTATCAACAGGAGACAGTTCTGTACGTCTTTGGAACTTAGATTCTGGTGATAATTATGTATTAAGCTTACATGGACCAAGCTATCGTGATCAAGAATATGTCATGTGTTTAACTTATTCTGAAAATAAAAGTAAGTGTGAGCATTATACCTTGGCATGATTGTGGCCATTCTATTCTATATTGTAATATAAATACTGTACAAAGTGATTGGAAATGTAAAGAAATAATTGGGTAAGAATAGTTTACAGTATTCTTTGATATAGTTTAGTAGGTTGATGTACAGCAGTGGTCCCTACCTAAACTGTGCTTTCTGAACCATATTATGGTGCTTGCAAGGGTTTATTAGAACATTTTAAAATATGTTTCTCCGTCAGAGTGAAAGGAATGAAAATGTGTAATAACTTGATACAACTTTAGTGAGAGAGAGAGAGAGAGGAACTTCCGTTTGTCCCAGGTCTGTCGTGTACACACAGTAAAAAAGGTACCCCACGGATTATGTGTGAAACAAAATGACAACGGATGAGGGATAGTTGAATATGCGTGAGGGTCCTGTATTATGGTGGTAGCCCAGCTTTCCTCGCCTGAGGGTATTCTCACACATCTGTTGCCATACTGTAGGTAGGTGGATACCTTTGCCATACAGGAACGTATACCAACCCTCCCGGCACATCAAGTGATGTATGGATCATTTCGGAAGTCAGCAGACGCCCCCCCCGCGTGAAACTTTTTTTTACTGTGTGTATAGGACATGGATATTTACCTCAGACCGGACTCAGAGAGAGAGAGAACCAGCCTGAAAGAAAAAAATTAAGAGATGTAATTAGTAACAGTTAGACTTGTGTAAACCTGCAAGTAACTGATATATGAGTTTTTTCTTGAATGTAGCTCCAAAGTTTTGGTGCCCTCCACTATATTCACAATGGCGAATGTGGCCCAGAGCCTACAAAAGGTTGGGGACCACTGCTGTATAGTATCTCAAAAAAGTATCTGTCCATACTTTTGTGTGAATTATTGAGACCTACCCTGTATAGTTTAACACAAGTGATCGCGGGCCCTTCGTGCCTGGTGAAAGTTTGAACGCTCGTGCTTGGCTAGCGCTCGACTGCCTTCCGGCTGACAGCGAATTAGGGTGCGTCAAGTCCGTGGACATGCATCGTTTTCCAGCGTAAATAAAATGGTTAATTAATGCCTTCCTAAAGAAACCATTGACATGGGACCAGGTTTGTTCCACTCTACGAATTTTTTGCGATTTTTCCACCAAGTTTGATGGAAAACAATTGTGCCATTTCGGCTGCCCAAAACAGACAGACAGACAGCTAGTACTATAGTATATTAGATAAGTAATGCAATATGTGTTTATTTTAGCATAAATAATTTGGTGTTCGGTTACCATATAAAGTACGATCATTATAATAATAATAATAATAATAATAAAAATAATAATAATAATAATAATAATAATTAATGGCTTATTGAAAGAGCATGGCAGAAGGAAGGCTGAAAATATACAGTTACATAATTGGGGAATGGGTCTCTTGATTTACAAATAATATACAAGTAACATAAGTGATACAAATATGATATATAATAACTAGGTGGGGAGAAGCTCAAACTACAGGGCATTTCAACATAGTGACAGTGCAAAAAGTAAGATTGACTGGGAGTGAATACACTGGTTGATTGCAAGTAATTGATAATTTTTACAATGGTTGGGACTGGGCTGTTCTTATAGCGATCAGTTCGTGCTCGTATGGGCTGGATGTGGTTGTGTTGTCGAACAGCAATTCTGGGGCCAGGGATGTCGGGTGGTAGTAGGAGCTGGTGTTGAGGATGGTGCAGAAGCTTCCCACCAAATTTGCAGATGAGGTCGTGGTGATGGTCAGTGAGAGTCGAGAGGGTCAGTGTGTTGAGCGCTTCTTGATATGTGAAGTTGGAAGGGGAGAGAATAATCTTGCATGCCCGAGAAGGCTCTTGAGTAACTTGGCGGTAGTTTACAGTCAATTATAATGGTTGTCCGGAGTCCTCCCATGGCAACCACCGTAAGCCCCCCCCCCTCCATCGGCGCGTGCGCCGCTGCCAGATCAAGGGCATCTTTGGATACGTGTAAATATTTATCTTCCAGAATAAATGTGAACTTTGAAATATTGTTGTTTTTGGATATTGCTAGGCCATTCATCGATACACCGATAGGATTCTTAACCCATTGGGTGTGGTGGGTTATCCTAGGCTGACTAAAATTGTCTGGCAGTAACCAAAATAAAATGGTAAGTGGGGGAATCACAGCTGCTTGTAAAAACATTAAAAATTATCCGAAGTAACTCTAGTTCATGGTATTTATTACTCCAGTGGTTGTCATGAACATTGCACTTGATATATCAATAAAGCATATTGTTCACCTTCTCATATTTTATTTCTTGCCTTTGACAGCAACACAGCTCTGTCCTTACACACACTTTCCCCTCATTAAATCTATACATTCACATGGTTCTTTACATTTATTAAATTTTATTTTAATTCACACAAGGTGCAAAGCAAACTCCTTGTGAGTATAGGGTGTACTGCAGTCTCGGCTGAGACAGCTTTAGTGTTGCTCTGGCCATATTCATCCTCTTAAGCCACATTTATTCCTGTCTGTATTTCTCCTACGCTGCAACAACCAGCTAATAACTTTCATCCTTCATGAAATTACTAGAACTTTGAAGAAAACATATGTTTTTTGTAAGTTTATCATAATAAGTAAATAAGATTTAATTTCAGTATTAAATATTCTGCAGAGATCCTTTGTGCTGGAACAAACCTTGGTAGTGTGGCAATGTGGAAGTATGAGGAACATACAAGTAAGCCTGGGGAAGATGATTATACGAGGGATCCTGAGAAAGATTGGAAGTTACAAAATCCTTCAGTTATCTCAGGAGCAGTGAAACAGGTATTGTATTAGTAGCATTTATTTTCACATTCGGAGTTTTATTTTGTGGTTTGTATGGAACAATGATTGTCACAATCTTCCCCTAGGACATTGGTTCCTAATGCATCGGATTTAAGATTTAACGGTTCTTTGGACTGTTTTTTCCGCCACTTACACCTTTTTGTTTATTATTTCTTAGTAAAACATAATTCCCTTAAACTTTTAGGTCATTAACCCCTTCACTATGGGGATGTCACTCTTAATGTTTTATTTGGACAATGCCAGACAATTTTATTCAGCTCAGAGGAAACCCCTTACTATCTCCACTAATGCCTTTACTAAGGGGACGCCATTCTTAATATCGTATTTTGCCAACACCAAATGATTTTATGCAGTTCAAAGGGAACCCCGTACACAAAGGGTTAATACAGTAATAATATTACCCTGTTAAATGTTAAAATTTAATTATACATTAATCTCTGTCAGCCGACTGCTGGGTGACAAATTTGTCTTTAGTAAGTCAGTTAAGGGTAAAATGTCTTTATCTCCTCTATGCTTTTTCTCAATTTATTGCTATCTTTTTAAACCATTATCACCTATGGTGCTGTGTAAAGATTATTAAAAGACAGAAACATACTGTATACACCTGTACAGTTGGGGAAATATGAACCTGCTATATGCCCAGTGACAGACTGGTGGTACCTGGCAAACCTGACGTACAGTAGTAAGGTATGAAATTTTATGAATGGACTCGACCATTTGTAACGGTGATTGTGATGGGTTAGCATATGTTTCCCGTATATATGTCGGTAAATAAAATTTATGATGAATTAAGTATCATGCAAATGAACTCTATCCTTTACTAGAGACCCTCACAAAACTTTATTCTTCAAAGTGTGATGAAATTATTCGTAAACAAGAATCACAGACTAGACAAGCCTTGTAATGCCAGGCTCACCACATGTTACTAAGGCCACAAGTTTGAGAAACCAAGAGTGAATGAAATATTTTATAATTTTAAGTCGAAGGTGCTTGACGAACACGCATTGATTGATACGTTTATTGAGATACAAAAACATTATAATACATCTCAAAGGGATGAAGT